TGAATAGTAAATAAAAATTAAAAAAATTCTAATGTTTTAAAATATCATTGACTAAAATATCAGTAAAATAATCAAGCTATAATTGGAGTATTTAATGTCATACAAAATGTTTATGTGATTTTCTAAACCAATTGCAGTTTTCCAACACTATTATCATTATTTCCACCACAACACTGTAATGTCCCTTTAAAACGTTTCTATGAAAGATTGTTCGTGTAGTTGCTATGGAGACGAACAGTGACATCACAGCACAAGTCTGACATGTTGGGAACTTTGATTTCATCCATGAACTTTTGAAGTAAAGCCAAAGTAAATATTACTGGAAATTAAAATATTTTTATTGTATGTAATTTCCAAACATGTCGTAACATCAACTCAGTTTGGAAATAATTGTTATTTTAACACATAGATGTATTTTCTAAGCATAAAATGCCAGAGACCCTTCCTTAGCTAGTATGTGATGCTAGCGTAGATTTTCCTGCCAATTTCTGTCAGATTGTAATTTCCACCACATTGCATTCTTTGTTGGAAATTAGGCGTAATTCATAGAAACACAAACAAGGCTCTTGTTCTCACATTGTATTTATCTCATTTTATTATTACAACAATGTGGTAATATTATAAAATAACACTTTTTTAGATAACTTTTGACATGTTTCTAACTATAATTTACATGCTAAGCATTTTGTGGTGGTGCCACACCCCCCTCTCCCACCCTTAGTATCACCTATGTACATCTGCAATTAATTTATTATTATTTATTTATTTATAATTATTATTTATTATGATGCTTCATAAAGTTTTTAAAAACAAAGGTTTGTTATCTTTATTGTCCATTCATTGTAATTTCCACCACATCACTCTGTTTTAACAACAAGCTTTATCAAAAAGGAACCTTTTAGGCCTTGCCTTAAAAGTAATGTCATTGTTTTGAAGAAGCCCAAAGATTATAAGCAGCTCCTGTTATTTATCAACAACTTCAAAAATCCCTTTTTACTTAAGAAATAATAAACTGGAGAAATATAAACATTGATTTTTATATAATTTTAATTGTTAAAGTTAAAACAGAGAGTGTTAGATTAACACAGGCGTTTCTGCAGTGTAGGATCCTGCAGGGTGGAGGGAGGAGCATTTACTTCTGCTTCATCCATAGACCTGGAAGCTCTGTGGAGAAACTGCAGTTTGTCCAGAAGTGGGATGGATGTAAGGTGGGTCAGCATGGAGCATTCAAAGGACTTCATCACGACAGAGCTCTGAGCTCTTTACCTGAAGTGGAGGATTTCCATCTATTACTTTATCGCTTTAAACGCAGACACAATGGCTTATAAAACAAGACAATGATGCAAAATACCATTGTTGATGCAAAGTCCCACTCTGTAAGGTTTTAATAATTATAATGATTAGAAATACTCAAAGTACAGTTTTACTCCCAAACTGAGATACATGATCAAGAAAGAAGCTGCTGCCGGTGGAGGAACCACCGATCATCACATCTATTGGTTCAAACAGACCTGCCTGCTTCTTATTCCCTGAGATCAACCTTTGCTTTTTACCTCAGTGACTTGGAAGCATCTTAAGGCAAATCAGCCATGTGTAAAATAGGATGTAAATCACTAGTTTAAATAGTATGAAATTTCATGAACTGGCCAAGTAAATGCCATCAAAAATGCAAATGGTTTCCATCATTCTTTTGCATGTCTGGACCAACAAAAACATAAGTGTCACAATAATCAGCCGCAGATCTTCAGTTCCAGACCGAAGGAGCAGAGAAGATGGAAAGTCTGTGGATCATCGTCGCTGCAGCGCGTAAGTCCTTCATCTTCAATCATACTTCCTGATTTCATGGTCTGATTTCTCTCCTGTGTGATGTCATAAAATGTTCAAACCTTCACTATTAAAATACATTAGAAAAAACTTTTCTACTATTTCTAAGAAACAATAAAAACAATCAAAGTGTTCAATCAATCAGAAATATGAAAGATGTAGAAAATGTTTGCTGTGAGGCGCTCACCTCTTCAGCTCACAGCTTTTCCACTCGACTTCATTCTAGAGACTCGGATGATTATGAAAAAATAGAATGCACTTTGTTTTTCATTGAGCAGATAAGACAATTTACCAATGGAATCATTTATATAATAATATAATATATAAAAATATTTAATATCTAAAACTAGAAGAAAGCTGCACTACCTTATTTCAGTTCAGTTTATTTCTATAGCGCCAGTTCACAACACCTGTCATCTCAGGTCACTTTCCAGTTTCAAGTGCATAATATCTAAATACTAAGTTCAAGGGTCAAATTAAGGACAAAAGTTCTTATCTAAGAAATCGCAGTAATTTCCTTTCAGTGTTTAAAATAAAGTAAACTCATGTATTTATCTTGGCTTCACAGAAGATCTGCTGTTTGTTGCTCAGTCTTTGTCTCATCTGACCACAGGACAGAGAAACTGGCAGAGTTCAGTAAACCTCATGTTTACATTTTTCTTTATCTTTCATACCTTGAAACGTCTAATTGATGGCCTGGTTTTCTAAAGATTTTAACGTTGAACCACTATTCTACCATCGGCTGTGTTTGATGTTCATGATCCTTTCTTCTCCTTCACCAATAAAAGCTTTTCATTCTTATGACCTTGAGAAAAGTGACCAGAAAACTCCGATCAAGATATAAAATAAACTACAAATACTAATCTTTCCAATGATTTTCTTAGATTAAATCTCAGCGGTTAGGAATGCAGCCCAGTTCCCAGATGTTCCCAGATGTTCCATACTTGTAGGCTGCTTGTTTTCTCTCTCTCATCCAGTTTGTCCATAGGGACCATAGGGACATGTCCCCACTGTCCATAGGGACCATAGGGACATGTCCCCACCAAATTTTGCACCAACCTACTTGTCACTACCAATAATTCCATGTGAATAAAATGTTTATAAATCGTAATACAGATTTCCGCAGCAGTCGCCTCTTTTCGTCTCGCAGCTCCGCTGCCTGGTAGCTGCTGCTGGCACTACGTCGGAGTTCCTGCCCGGTCTTTCCTGTCCCCAAAACTTAGCAGCACTTTTAGCTGCGCTGTGCTGTTTAACTCCACTCTCATTGGTTGTTCTGCCTGAAGTTCCGCCTTCTCTCTTCCTGATTGGCTGATTTCTGATACAGACGTGTGTGCTTGGAGAGCGAAAATGAAATTTTATTCTTGCTAGAATACTGCGACTACAGCCTGGATGTGCCATCATTTCCTTCAACTGAATAAAAACCAAACTG